GGAGCACATTCGCCATTAATGGGGACTTAAATCTTAATGAAAGCAATTGGGGCTTAAAGCCTCACCAACTGCCAGGCCATTGCAGGACTTTACTGGGTATCATGTGGGATGCGGTGTTGGTGTGGCCATGGGCCGAGCCCCAGACTGACAGATCCAGAGTCAAGTGCCCAAACCATTATACCACCACTGCCCCAGACTTTAATCTTAATCAGCTGGGGCATTTTTGATGACTCTAGATATATGTGTATGTTTGTATGTATGTATGTATGTATGTATGTATGTATGTATGTATGTTGTATGTATGTATGTATGTATGTATGTATGTATGTATGTATGTATGTATGCATATATATATATATATATATATATATATATATATATATATATATATATATATATGCATATACATATAACATATACTTCCAGATCAACTATTAGTGAAGTTAGGTGACTTCAGGCCTGGCCTGTAATAAAAAACAAATGCTGCCTGCTGCCAGAAGCTATAAGTCCACATTCTAACAGTGCATGTCTATGAGGATCTCACCACAACTATCACCTGTAGGGCTTCCACTGTGTTGCTCAGTAAGAACTGTTAAAACTATGGTCAATGCATGGGTGAGCCAGCATGTCAGATGACTTCTTCTTTCTGGAATAACAAGGTGAGGAGGACCATTGTCATATCCTCCTAGGTTAATGGCCTTGAGGTTGTTCTCTCTGCTTCCTGACTCCATCTTGTCTGCCCTTCTATTGCCACAGAGATTGAGATTGATGTCTACAGATCACCTGCATGCTAGTAAGGTGAGCACATATGTATATATATATATATATATATATATATATATATTATATATATATAATGGAAATAATTCAAGACAGAAACACATCAACTCTTTCTACCTACTCATAGCATCCATCTATCATGGCCTGTGCTGCCCACCTAGACTGTGCACTGTAATTCCACTTCTCTCCAAAGCAGCAAGGTTAGCAATGTATCATGTTACATAAACCATGTCATACATTAACTAACCACTGACATCAGAGTATGCCTCAAAATATTTGATGATGTCCCAATGAACAAACCACACAAAATTTACATGCATTCCAACACTGCCATTGGTCACACATCTGTAGCATAAATAACAATGCACAACAACTTAAATTGCATAGCGTGCAGAACAAGGTCCTAGTTCTGGGCACCATTTAAGGATTGAAGATTTTGGAACCTTGTGCTTAACAAGTATGGGCTTGATAACACAATTATCTGCTCTCAAACCAGATGCATGTTGGTCATGCCTACAGCTCACTTTGTTTTGACCACTTAGGTCCTTCATAGTTTTGTTCAGATGAGCTGGTGAGTTCCTCTTTTGTTGACTACCATGAATAATTCACATTCACTTCATTCACTCATTACCCTTCAATACTTGTACATTTTCAGTCCATAGATTTGTATGATGTTATCAGCCCAGTGATATGTAAGGATTCAAGCTGTACACAAATGCAACACACTTCTACTTTGCGGAGGGCTAATATGCATAGCAAATGCTGAATTATAGAATGGTGCCCATGACATTTTGATTGGATTCCTGAGTATTCTAAGCGCAGGCCTCGCACTTTTTCATTTGAATGAGCATAACTCAGCATGAACAACATGCAATATTCGACATACTAGGTGCAACCTACACGTAAAAGCACTCATAAAATTACGCGAGCCCCTCCCCCCAAAAATAACATTTCCTCACTCCCCAACACCCAAACATCGCACCCAACCCACCTTCGACGTCCCCGCCACGCGTGTACCATCTACCAGCTGATTATGCAACGGGCTAAACACTGACGGCCGTGAACAATCAGCTGATTGCACCGTGACGTCATGAAACTATTAAAAAACTGGTATATCAAATCACTGCCACGTTGGTATAAACTGCCTCAATTAAATATTCCTGGCTATGGCCCAGACGCGCATCCAGAGTCTTGGCAAGGGAGGGGCACAGGGCTGATAAAGGCCCTCCTAATACAAATCGCCAATTATAACCCACTTTGTTAATGAAGGCATTATTCTTTTAGTCACTTTAACCATCTACAACTGGAGTAGAAGCCAGAAACTACCGCGACATCAGTTATACCTGCAGCTTGTAGTGGATCAACTGAGGAAACCATGCATTAAATGGCTACATGAAAAAATCGAGCTTGCGCTTCACTTTGCTATGGCCCAATGGACTATTTCTAAACCGACAAATCTCAGAAGCTGTGTCTGAACCATCATCTGGACTTTAAAGATATATTACGTACCCCGAAAATGTTGACTGGAAACGTTCAATATGAAAGAAGAATTGATCACTGGTGCAAATTACGTAGCGTATCTTTGAGCATGGCCGCTCGCAGATCTTTTCAACGAAACCGCGATGCTAGGCGTTGCAGCCTCCTTAAGCCGCGCAGCGTCGACCCTGTGGCTAACACTAAGGCGTGCCCAATGTGTGGCCGACAATGATCAGGCGTTTGAAAAAAAAAAACACATTTGAACGCCTTATGAAATCAAACCATACAAGTTAATTGTAGCGGTACGAATATTTCACATGCGCAATTTTCACGTCGATGAAATGAACAGTCTTTACAGCACAGCTAAGAGGGGTTGAAAACTGGTGGTATCATTGGAGAAGTTCCGCTGACAAGTGGCCGAAATCTCGTGGTGGATGAGTCTACGGGCAGCCCCGTCCCTTAGTTCCAGAAAGCCTCCGTCGGTAGTTTTTCCGACTTTTGCACGGCCTGGCACACCTGGGAGTTCGGGGCACACAAGAACTCGTCTCCCAGCGTTTTGTGTGGCCTTTTATGCGCCGAGACACTAAGGAGTGGACACGAGCGCGCACCTCGTGTCAACGTGCGAAGATTCATCGGCGCACACGGGCACCAATTATGGTTTCACGCTACCGGACGCTCGATTTGACGCCGTCTACAACGACATTGTCGGCCCACTGCCCCCGTCGGATGGCCACACGCACCTCCTTACGTGCATCGGCCGGTTCACCCGCTGGGTGGAAGCCATCCCTGTGGCAGACA